CACCCATTACCTGTCACATCCATTACCTGGCACACTCATTACCTGTCACATCCACTGCCTGTCACACCCATTACCTGGCACATCCACTGCCTGTCACACCCATTACCTGTCACATCCACTGCCTGTCACACCCATTACCTGGCACATCCATTGAGACAGCCAGAGAAAAAAGGGCAGCAGCAAAATGTACTGTTGGCGTTTTCCAGTGCCCTTTGACAAATAAAGTTCATTTTCACATGATTTATTTATTAAAATTAGATTTCAGTTTGCAGTTTTTTCAGTTTGTCAGCCTTTTCATGTTCATGTTTTTCATGTTAAGCAAGAATGAAGCATTGAAGTAAAGAGACTTGAACTATATTGTGATAAGTATCAATATCGTTTGATATAAAAACATTGTGCAAAGATATTTCACAGTATCAGCCTGTCCACTGTGGGCCTTTAGGGGACGAGTCTTTCAGGTCAGACATTTCTGCATGGGTGTGCTGTCTTCCTGCAAGGCGGGCAGTCGGAATAACAGGCCACTCCCCTTTTCTCACCGGCTGCTGTGTCTGTGACCCTGGCAGAATCAACTCGTGCCCTAACAACTGCTCGGGCCACGGAAAGTGCTCCACAGGCAACTCCATCGCCAGCCGTGTGTACTGCGAGTGTGATGACTACTGGAAAGGCGAGGCCTGCGACATCCCCTATTGCAGGAGCAACTGCGGCAGCCCTGACCACGGCTACTGCGACCTCACTGGCGAGAAGCTGTGCGTCTGCAATGACTCCTGGCAAGGTGGGCTCTCTGCCTCAGTGCCTGTCTGCCCCTGGCACTGCCTCTGTCCATCTGTCTCTCTGACCCTGCTGCTCAGTCTGTCTGCCTCTGGCCCTGCCTCTGTGCATCTGTCTCTGCTGCTCAGTCTGTCTGCCTCTGGCCCTGCCTCTGTCCATCTGTCTCTCTGACCCTGCTGCTCAGTCTGTCTGCCGCTGGCCCTGCCTCTGTGCATCTGTCTCTGCTGCTCAGTCTGTCTGCCTCTGGCCCTGCCTCTGTCCATCTGTCTCTGCTGGTCAGTCTGTCTGCTTCTGGCCCTGCCTCTGCCCATTTGTCTCTCTGACTCTCCTGATCAGTCTGTCTGCCGCTGGCCCTGCCTCTGCTTATCAGATAACTGACTCTGCTGGTCAGTCTTATCTAGTTCTTTTTCTTATTTTACATACTAGTGTGTTAATTTAAATGCTGATTGGGCAAATGCTGCCCACAGCATGAGGAATTGACCTGCTGGATTGCGTCTCTTGAAGGGCACCAGACATAGCTGGTGTGTGGTTCACTGCTGCCACCTACAGGCCATCAATTGGCAAACTCCATTTTTACCCAGTATGCCCAGTAATGCTAATGCCACCTGGTGACCTTTCTGCTGGGTTTACTGTTAATTTTTGATGAGGGTTAAAAGTGCCATAGAGTGAAAATCCGACTTTACCTCAGCATAGTTGAATAGAGAGAGTTGGGTAGAAGGATCTGACACTGAGCTGATTTATACTTGAGGCTCACAGCGCATAAGTGTGAACATCACGGCTGCCACACGTTTTCTGCTTGCATTCCACACGTCGTAGGTGCACCTACGGGAGGAGTTAACGCAATGCGTACGCGAGATGCAGTACCACCAAAAATTGGGGTGGCAGTATGGAAAGTAATATTTTCCAGTGTTGTGCAGCCTAATTACAAAATACTAACTACTACGAGATATCTAACAACATACAATGCAACAGGGGTAGTAAAGCGATAGATGGCAGAGCGAAGTACAATGTGGAGCAGTATTTAAAAATGTATCAATTTGATTGCTGTGGTCAGGGGCGTAGCACCAAATTCTGGGCCCTATGCACAAACCCCCCCCTCAAAAAAAAATAAAAAAAAACAATCACACAAGACTTCACTGGAATTTGGTTTTATTTGTATAATGATTAAACGCTATGACAGGCTACCTTTGGTGACATTTCCTAACATCATAGGCCTGCATGAAAATTGAACACTTTTGAAACGGTTTCACCGCTGCGTTGTTCATCAAATTACCATGCGAATGCGATTTAAATACGCGGAAGTGCTGCTGTTTAGAATGTGAATAGCGATCTTCACGCGAAGGCGGTACACTACACGCCCCCCATGCAGGTAAAACAAAGAAAGGTCACATGGTTTACTTTTTGCCGATTTAATCTAATTTTAAAAACTTTAAATACCTCCGACAACGGACGTTTTGGAAGGAAGACAGATTACAAGATTTAGCCAGCGTTTTTTCCATGATTCTACACGAACATTTCAGCGAGATATAAACTGAAATAGACGAGAAAGATATGCGGCATCGCTGACGATGCTGTAGAACCCAGGAGGGTTAAGCAAACAAAAAAAAATATTTAGACTTATCTAGACTACATCATGCTAAACTATGTGTAATTTCGCGGTGGTATTGAAGTGTTTAATAATCACAGTTCATTTAATGTAGGCTATTTGCTTTCACATTTGGGCTCACCTTTCTTGGGAAAAAAGTTTGTAAGCAGTTGCTTTCCCTCTTTTTTTTTTTTGTTTCTTTCCTGCCTCTCTTTTCTTTTTTGAAAACCGGATTTAGCTTTCTTCGGCATCATCTTCCGGCACGGATTTAGCTGTTTTATCAGAATGACCACTAAATGAAATGCGCCTAGTTAAAAAGCCCGGTGAAGACTAAACCATTGCAGGGGGTGAGGGTGCTTGTCCTCAGGCACTGTAAGCTAGCACACAATTCAATCCGTCAACCGATTTATTTTCCCACAAAAATTACATTTACATTAGTTAGCAACATTTATTGTGATCTTTGAATAATATTAATATATTTAAAGGAAAATAAAATTCCAGATTCCTTAGGGGCCCTCCCCCCACATGGGGCCCTGGTAACTCAGTCCCCTTTTCCCCCCCCCACTACGACGCCCCTGGCTGTGGTGGCAGCTACTGTAAATCATTTCATGTCACAACCTCATACAAATGCGGTTTTCTCGCACTGCCCCCTGGTGGACATGACCTTTAATCCTCCAGAAAGACGTAAACTACACATGCAGGTACAGTCAATATACTCCTTGTATGCGTCGCCTCACATGATCGCGGCTCATACTGTGAATCTCAAACATTGTTGTTCCCTTTATGAAGCTATGATTATGTCAATATTGTTCCTAGGCTGAAGTGTCAGTTACATGGCGAAGTGGGAAGATTACCACGAAGATAGCGATAAAAAGTCTTAGGTAGTACATACATAAACCAGTAACAGAGCTGTTTATTACCTAACCCTAACCCTATTATATGCTGTACATAATTGTCTGTGACATGATTGTACATAACTGGCAGCGCCGTATGTTAGTTTACACCAGCATCACCACAAACACCTGAGTAAAGCATCGCGCTACGACATCACTAGGCAATAGGAATTATTCAGCTCTGTTATAATCTTATGGTAACACCGACGTAGCCTACATGCGGTCCATCTTCCACCGAAACGTTATGTAGCGCATGACTGAAGTGCTGGTTCTGTGTGAGCCATCGCAGTGCCTCATTATAAACCAGCCTAATCTGAGCTCATCAACATATTGTAATGACTAGAAGAACACTTTAATGGACCCTGTACGGCCGGAGCCCACGCCAAACTCACGAAGAGGAACACGGTGCAACAGAACCAAAAAAAAAAACAAGCGACAATTAATGTTCCCCAGTACATATATGGTTGTGTGGAGCCCGCCGCTTCTCCTTTTACCCACTCCACAGGTACCCCACATTCCCGCTATCTCCAAACCCCCCGAGATTGGCTGAAAAGGGTGGGAGGACTGCCCTATAATAAACATTAAATAATCCTAGTCCTCCAGTATTAATGAGCCCACCGAAAACGGGAAACAGACCTGTTTCATTCTAGGGCCAAATAACAGTGTTGTAAATTGGCCAGTATAACCTCTTCTGGCCGTTTTTGGACTAAACCAAGTGCACATATTTTCCATGTAGACACCAACTAACTATTTAAAGTACTGAAAATGCATTCTGTAGTAGTCTGACACAGCTGTAGTAGCTGTCAGACATTTGCTGTCTGTCTATACTGATTCATTTTCATTGACTTTATTCTGGTACATATCAACTTCTTTGAGGATGTCAGGTGCTGTTTGCATATTCAGCACAAGGGGGCAGACCCATTAGCACTGTGGACCACATCAGTGAGGTCTGTATCAGGATGTTCTCCATGCTGTCCTTTTATAGTATATGGTGATCAGTCCTGCTTGTGCAGGAGTGCCTAATAATCCCAGTCTGCACCCACTGTGGCCCGTGCCCCTTCCGGGTGGGCTGATCATGTGACCCTCACGGCCCTGTCACCTCTCACACTGTGACAAAAGGGACGCCATAAATCTGTCCTCCTGTCTTTCACAGAGGACGCCATGCAATCTGCCGCCCTGACGATACCCTCTTTGACTCCCGCAGGCCCAGACTGCTCCCTGATGGTTCCATCCACAGAGTCCTATTGGTTTCTGCCCAACGTGAAGCCCTTCAGCCCATCTGTGGGCCGGGCCTCCCACAAGGCTGTGGTGCAGGGCCACCTCATGTGGGTCATCGGAGGCTACAGCTTCAACTACAGCTCCTTCCAGATGGTGCTGAAGTGAGTCTTCCCCGCTCCATCCACCCCCACCTCCGTGTCTGCCTCTGTGTTTGTGTCACCTTCGTTTCATCTTTCGTCTCTCAGCTACAACCTAGAGAGCAGCATCTGGAACGTGGTACCCATGCACACCGCGCCCCTGCAGAGATATGGCCACTCGCTCGCCCTCCACCAGGTGTGTAACACGCGTCTGCGCACTCTCACATATAATGTTACACGCATAGCTACGCAGAAAGACAGGCTTTAAGGAGAGGAAATCGATGCTTTGCCGCCTTTGTTTGTGTTCCCCTCAACTGAATCCCAGCTTCTGCTTTTATTGCATTTGTGCCAGCAGGCACAGGCTCGTATTTCTCATAGAAACGTTTAATTGGTAAGTACGCGTTTGTAGATTAGTCTTCGGCCTCGGGATCCCATGACTCCCCACGTGCCCTGGGGATCGGCAGCCATGGCCGAGACTGTGTCCGGTGAAGGCTTTCCACCGCCGCGCTTGTGGTGATGGTGCTTGTTTAATTGCACCTGTAATTAACTGTTTAATGAGAATGTCTCCTTTGGTATTTTACATCACCAATACAATTCCAGCATTCAAAATTCTTCTCTTTTGAAAGAGAGACGTTGAATCAGGATCAGGGAGAGCAGTAGAGGAACAGTAGGTCCATGTGCTGTTCTTAGAAGCACTGTACGTTGTCTTTTTTAAGCCCATGTTGATCATGTGCATCCAAGATGATTTTCGTGACCTTCATACACTGTCCAAAAGGGCACAGAGCCCCCATATTTTAATGGTTGAAAAAGTTCCCCTAAGCAATCACTGAAGCAGTGTAGACCGGCTAATTTGATGTAAACACAGTGAGAACTAGACCATTTAGTTCTGGAACCACATGAAACTTGTTTATGTCATTCTCCTTTTGCACATTGTCTCCATGTACAGGATGACATCTACATGTTCGGTGGGAAGATTGAGGCACGAGGGGGCAACGTGACTGATGAACTGTGGGTGCTGAACATCCCGAGCCACACCTGGTCTCTGCGGACACCAAACGTGCTCGTGCATGGCCAGCAGTATGCCGTGGAGGGACACTCAGCCCATGTGGTCGAGCTGGACAATGGCGATGTGCTAATGGTGGTCTTCTTCGGCTACTCCTCCATCTACAGCTACATCAGCAACGTCCAGGAGTACAACCTGCGTAAGTGTCAGGAACATCTTAGCATTAGTCTGTTAGCCAATTGTAGGTACCTCTAGGATATTAACCTGTTGCTTATACCCACTCTCTCCCGGGTGTCGGTCTGTCGCTTATACCCACTCTCTCCCGGGTGTCGGTCTGTCAGTTATACCTGCGCCCTCCCGGGTGTCGGTCTGTCGCTTATACCTGCGCCCTCCCGGGTGTCGGTCTGTCGGTTATACCTGCGCCCTCCCGGGTGTCGGTCTGTCGGTTATACCTGCGCCCTCCTGGGTGTCGGTCTGTCAGTTATACCTGCGCCCTCCTGGGTGTGGGTTTTACCAGTGACAGTACAATTTAAGTGTTCAAAATATGCATCTAGGATATGGCTGTACAGTTAGATTTTTCTTAACACATTTTACCATATTTTTATTCATTTCACAGTCTGCTGCTTTCAGACATTGTGCTGAAAAGCTGCATCGTAACAACTGAAACCAATAAAGAAGTAATCCAGCTGACCAGCAGATGGTGCTGTGGTGACATGCCATTCTCCCCAGTTGTATCAGGACAATTATCCTAATGCTAGCCTGTGTAACAACTTGGCCCAAAGAGGGGGGATCCGGTATGTGGTAATGTCAGACAGTGGGACCGGGTGGGGGGGGATCCCCCTACGGTGTCAGACTGGGTCTGGGGGGGATACCCCCCTAATGTTGGACTGGGAGGGGGGATACTCAAGAGAGGCTGTGACTGAAATTGTTAAAGTGAGGTGTGACGGTAGAGAAACGAGGTTTGTTTTCAGGTTCCAGGGAGTTGGCCTGTGGGACAGGATGCATGGGATGAGCTTGGGTAGCATAGCTAGACAGAGGCTCCACCTTAAAGGCAAATCACTGCTATCTTGGCGTAGTGATAGTGTGGCAAACGGCTCCCTTCAGAACCGAGTCACATGATATATGATGTGGAACGAGTCACAGACTGAGTCAATTATCCCCGGCAATAACAAAGGCAATCGAAGCAGCAAATCTTTGTCTGGATATCTGCGTATAATTAGGCCTTGGAGGTGTTTTGATGCACGGTGATCGGCTGTTAAGAACATTCCAGGACGTGCTGGTAGTGATGGTATCAGTAGAATCAGAACCAAACAAACGAGAATTAGAGCTAATTAATATTCATAAGCACCTGCCTGCGTCAGTCGAGAGCTGTGGAGCCTGAAGGAGAGTAGGAACCTCTGCTGAATTGTGGGCTCTGTGTGTAAGGTCCTGCCCGGTCCGCCCGTTCCCTCGGTCATGAAGAGAGCAGGAACCGCTGCTGAAATGTGGGCTCTGTGTGTAAGGTCCTGCAAGGTCTGCCCACCATCCTGGACACGATAAGAGCAGGAACCGCTGGAAGCTGCTGTGGAGCCACCCCCCACCACCTACCCCCCTGCTGGGACTGTTTCCAGGGCAACAGGCTAAAGTGTCAGGGCTCTCTGGTTTGGTTTGGAGGTCTGACTGGAATGGACAGCCCTGGCTGTGGTGTCCACAATGCATCACCATGTTTTGCTCAGCCAGTAACCACACACACACACACACACACACACACACACACACATAAATAACCCTTTTCAGATGCTCACCTCCACAGACTGATAAACAGCCTGATTTCTGTGTTTACTCTCCACATCCTCATCCACAAATTGCCCAGTGTGACCCCAGAGCACATTCTGTGCTCTCTCTCCTCCTAGGGGTGCAGAGCTCTGGGCCTCTCCCCCCCCCCAAGAGTGCAGGGAGGGGCCCTTCATGTCAGCAGCTCTCAAACTGCTCTGAATGTCAGCCTGAGCCGCTTGCCTGGTGCCCCGTGCCTCTCACTTGACTTCCTGGTGTAGGTGCCTGTCTGGGCTTCATTAGTCAGGAAGCTGCCAGAACATTCCTGTGCCCCCAAGGTGAAACTGGAGCAGTTCTCCCTGGTTTGGGTTCCTCTAGCTGCAGACCCCCCAGCTCGGGGTGATATGTCTGCCATCCATCATCCCGTCACCACCGCTGGTGGCGTCCGTCGTCCCGCGTCACGGCAGGCTAATCTTACCACGGCGCTCGAGCATTTAGACCGGATGCTGTGTGTGTGTGTGTGTGTGTGTGTTTGCGTGTGTGTGTTTGCGTGGGGCACTTTGGGCCAATGGGATTCCTTTACTGTTTAGTTCTAGCTTTGTATAACAAATTGTCTTTATTTTCTGTTACAGAACATTAGCTTTGCTGTGTGTGTCTTTCTGTTAATGTATTTGAGTGTGTGCTTGGATATTAATGTGCCCGTTGGCTCATACGTCTCTATGGGCACTTTTTCTGTGCGCCACGTACCAGGTGCTGGTTTTCCACTGGGGTAAAAACTGGTATTGGCTCTATTACATCACAACCCGAGGCGGGGTTTTTGTATTTAAAAAATGGCTGTAGTATATTATAGGGCTGGAGGATGTGCAATATTAAAAGTAACATCGCATGTTATGCACATGCAGTTCTTCCATCACTAGTCAGCTAGATTAAGATCAGGCTTTTTCATACCTTCATACTGTACAGCCATCATAGCGGAGGGGGGTTTCAGTTTTTACTCTGTCGTAGGAAAAAAAAAACTTAGCGAGCTTTGCAATTTAAATGATTATTCCTTTTCAGTATTATCTAATATATGTTTAAAAATCAGTTTAAAGTTTACCTGCGCTGCTTTTGCATGAGCGCTGCATGCATTCTCTGAGACAATCATAATCATTTTCATCCATGCTGTTTGAATCACTCCTAGACGGGTTTGTGAGAATTTTACAGTATGTTGAACTCCTTTTTGTTTTATATGTACCAAATTTTTCCAGTTCTGTGCTGTCTTAGTATATATATTAAAATATTTTTTAAATTTCTTGTCATGCCATCCTGATCTTGTATCTGTTCTTCCGACGAGGTCGCAATTAATTATTTTATTTTTTTTACTTTGTTTTCTGACTTTGTAACATTTTTTGACCTTAGTATTGTGTTTAGAGGCAGGCTGTTTGCATAACGAGTTGACAAAGAAAGCGTTTCTACAACCTCAAAGTACCCAAGTACTGGAACTTTTGGTTCTGGTGCCCGAGCGGAAGTCAGTGGAAAAGGGGAAAGTGCTTGTGCACGTTGCGTGTGCGTTTCCTTATGCAACCACGCCACATTCACACTGTCACATGTTTCTACAGGGACAAACACCTGGGTGGTACCTGAGACACAGGGCGCACTGGTGCAGGGCGGCTACGGGCACAGCAGCGTATACGACGCCATAAGCAAGTGTGTGTACGTGCACGGTGGCTACAAAGCGCTTCCTGCCAACAAGTACGGCCTGGTGGACGACCTGTACCGCTACGAGGTCCGCACGCGCACCTGGTGAGTGATGCCCACCGCCGTACCCCCCACCCATGCTGTGGTCATACACAGATGGCACCTCAATAGGACCCTGTTGCTATGGTGACAGTGGTGGAAGCAAACCGGATCGATGGGGCAGCCAGCAGCAAAGATGCTGTCAAACTGTCACATTCGTCCCACTGCCTGCTTCATGCCTTCATATTCCTGTCCTCACATTCTGTCCCGTCTGCTTCCTGTCCTCACATTCTGTCCCCTGTCTGCTTCCTGTCCTCATATTCTAACTGCTTCCCTCATTTCTGCATTGATAGTCCGCTGTGTTTTTCTTCTCCCCTTTTCGGAATTTTCTCAGACCAACTGTCCTCCTACCATTACTCATAAAACCACCCCTACCCCCACAGCCAACGGAGGCCACCCTAGGCTAGAGTTTCACGTGAGTCCAGCTGCCACATGCCTGCACCACCAAGGATGGCTGTCTGACAGGAAATGGGAGATGGTGACAGATGATCTTCAAACCCTGTGGAACAGCCGCAGAGTCCATAGCCATTACCCAGAATGCTTTGCCATAAGGGCAGAGTGCAGGTCCATGGAGAGATTGAGTGAAGTTCCTCGACCGTTGTAACAGTGAGATGCATGGACTGAACTGTGCCCATAGGGGGCACCCTAACCATTGGGAGCAGGCCAACAATAATAAAATGGCAGATTAAATGTAGATATACTTGTCATGATTTTGGAGAAGGTCAGTGGTACCCCCCCCCCCCCCCCCTAGGACCGTACTGTGGAGAGTGGCTTTGCCCGGTACCTGCACTCCGCTGTGCTGCTCAGCGGCTCTGTGTTGGTGGTTCACGGTAACACCCTCCCTCGCCCCCAGGACCATACTGAGAGAGAGTGGCTTTGCCCGGTACCTGCACTCCGCTGTGCTGCTCAGCGGCTCCATGCTGGTGTTTGGAGGGAATACACATAACGACACGTCACTCAGCAATGGAGCCAAGTGCTTCTCCGCCGACTTCCTGGCCTACGACGTCGGTACGTAGCACCCCGCCCGCTGTGACAGACTCAGGCAGGCTCTGCCCACTCCCCACCCAATCCCCACACCACCCAGAAGCTGTTTGGCATGGGTACATAGAGGCCAAACTTTTAGTGTAACATTAACCGTAATATGATTCATATTACCATGGGTGAAAGTGGAATTCTGGGACGGGTCCCTGGGGTTGCAGCGACTCCTTGGTGGGTCAGGTGTCGCAGGTTGCTGATCCCAGGAGGCGCGGCACCAGGACGTGATCAGTGTCCGTCAACTGGGCCTTTCATCGGGGTGGATCTGAGAGGCCGAATCTAATGCTGCATAGAGGCCGGTTAACAGAACCTGAACGGATCCTTGGTGCAGGGAGAGATTCTTTTGGGTCCTCAAATACAGGTTGATCCAGGTTTTGTTGGATCCAAACCTGTTAACTAATACGTGGTGAGTGCGGTGTTCTCAGTTCTTTTGGACCATGGGGGATTGAACAGGCCAGAGTGCTTTATGCTCTGGCCCGGCCACATGGCCCCCGGGAATCACCATCCGCACTCCACTCACGGACTGTGTTGGCAGTGCAGCCACCTCTTCCCACACATAGATGGCGCTGTGGTTTCATGCATGGATGAGAGGAGCCCCCGGAGGTCTGAGTCATGTCGCATCGGTGGTGTCTGAGTTAGCGCCAAATGGATCTGGGTCCCAGCAGGGATTCATGCTCTTCATTCCCAGAGAAAGTGACAGGAGTGAATAACACACAGGTATCCTCAATCTTCTTGGATGGTTAATTCAGAAGGTAACATAGGGGCGAAGGATTTTTGGCTAAGGGCTTTGAGAAGGAGAGATGGCCGATGACCGGTGCTCCACGGACCTGTTTATCGAAGCCGCAGCTTCTGTGCTTGGAAACGAGGTGCAACTCGAACTTCTGAAGGAACCGGTGGAGCAATTCAAAGAAAGGCCTGCAGGAGGCAGTGTGCACACCCAAGCAACCTGTCAACATGCAGAGCCACCTGAGGGACACTTGGTGTTTACGGTGGTGGAGCCCAGCATTTATGTCAGGAGTTGTTGATGAGGTTTTTTTTTCAAGTGTATTAAAACTGCTCTCGGAGTGATTTTCCATTTCCAAAATGAAGGCCTGCATTCTTTCCTCTCTCGCTGCTCCCATTAATTACTTTCACCTGTGGAGTTCTGCATTTACCCAGTTTTTTCCTGACAGCTGTGTTTTAAGATCTAATTTGTTTTGTTTTCCCAGCTGTCCTGGGAGGCCACGTGGTTATTAACCTTTTGTGTTTTCACAGCTGAATATTAAATTTGGGTTGTCAGTGAAGTTTTCATTTGTGTTTAATTCTTCCCCCTCTCACTTCTAATTAGATTCCGAGAGAATGAGCTCTAATTAAAAATATAGCGCTCACCCTGAAAGACGCGAATGCCCGCCTGTGCTGCCAGCTGTATTGCATTAAATTTAGACAAAGTAGCTGGAAGCTCTTAATAAGAAAACACTTTTTATTGCATCTTGCATTAAAGGGGTGGATTTATGTGAGCGCCCCCCTTTCTTGGGGTTATTGTGTGCTGTTCTGCCCCTCTATCCGGCTTCCTGTGTTCACTCACCGAGAGCGACTTCATATCCTGTTCTGTGATACACATCAGTGTGTCTGCAGGAGAAGGGTGCTCGGGCTGGTCTCCAGGGAGATGGCAGTGGACGCTCTTTTCAATTTGGTCCCCCTCCCCACCCCCCCAAGTCGTTAGCAGCCTTACTCAGGTCCCTGTTTCCCAAACGCCGCATTTCCAGGTCATATTACCAGTTCACATTACCAGTTTGTGTTACCAGTTCATATTACCAATACCATGCCCATTTGGTACTGTTAAAATACAGGCCTACAAAGGCTTACACCAGCTTTGTTTAAACCACTGCATCACTGTGAGAGCTCTCCCCTCTGAGGGCCCCATCCTCCTGGCCCTGTGGCTAGCCCTAGCCCCCCTCTGAGGGCCCCATCCTCCTGGCCC